GGTCTCAATTAAAGGCCTGGTCTGAATTTTATAAAAGTTCTTTGGTTGTATAAAACCTCTCAAAGCCACCAGGTCAAATTAATGATGCGTAATTGATGTTATTCGATTTTTTATAAGTAATATTGAATACTATACTATATACTTATACTTATATATTTATACTTTCCCATCTTTGCTAAGCAAGAATTTTTTGTAAAAGGAATTGAAGGCCTGTCCCATATAGAAGCCTGTTCCAAATGAAGGCAGGTTGAGTTCAGGAATTTATGCAAATTAAAGCCCAGGCTATTAATTGAAGCCTGTTGACATGCACAATGTAACTAGTTGGTGGGCCATGAAAGTCTTTTCAGAATTTTGTGACAATCAGTTCAATTATCATACTGTAGGACCAACAGCCCATGTTTACGTATGAACTGTATGCGTGTGTGTGTGCTCCACAGTTTCTTTATGTGTCTAAGCCTGGGAGAGAGGAGATTGCAGCAGAGGTATATGAAGATGAAGTGGACCTTCGGCGCTCCTGCTCGTACCTCAACAGCAGTTTCCACTCTGTTTGGAGTGAGCCCAGTGTGGACCCGGAGGATTTTCGGGTAAACTCTCTTGTCCCCTCAGAACGATGTTATCACTTTGCACTGGGACATAATTTACAAAAGGTGGAAGAAATTCCAAAGGTCACATTTAACTAAGGAAAATAAATGTCCCTTAATTTCAGTTAATACCACATGTACACTCAATTAAACAGATCTTAAATGTATTATAATTTAAATCATAAATTAACAGTAAATACAATTAACAACAGAGTGAACACATTTTGTACTGTATAACCTTTCTCCCCCCCTTTATCCTTTTCTTCTCCTCAACTGTGTTCTTCTTAAATGAAAACGTGTTTTACCTTTCCTCTGACTTGTTACTCTCCATATCTTCTCCTCTCCTCAATCATTTCAACCATTTCCTCAATGCCTTCATCAATTCCCACCATTCTTCATATGCACCAGGATGAACTGAAGAAGTTATATGCCCAGTTAGAAGTCCACAAGACCAAGAAGATGACCGCAAACAACCCTCATCTGTCAAAGAAGCGAAGTTCTCGATGTACATTGGGGAGATCCATTATTAGACGCATTGCTGAGATCCCAGAATCCATGAGCCGGCAGTGCAGCCGCGAGGAGAAAGATGGATCGTTCCATAGTAGAATTGTGAATCAGGATTCTTTCAGGAGGACCCCAGATACAATATCAGTCAGTATCAGTTACAGAAGTTCAATGACACCTTCACCATCTATGCGCAAGTCCCAAAGTGATCATCACTATGTCAGGGAAAGAGACTCTTCTTTGCGTGACTCCATGTTAAAGGCCAACGCTGTGAAGAGGTCTTCCCGACGATCTGAGACTGACTCCTTGGATATTCCACCAGGGGTCTGTAAATCAGCCAGTGCCCAAAATCTGACAATTGATACCAATCTTCTGCATCCTGATCACACCAGACTTCATAAGTCCTGGAGTCTAACTTCAACTACCGCTCATTCTATAGAAAACATATCCAAGGTTAACAGAGCCAGTACAGTGCTGACAAGGTCCAGGCAGAGCATTTCCATTAGCGACCAGACCAGGAGTGCTCTCCAGTCAGAGTCATTTGACAAGGCTGAGGTCTGTCCTTGGGAGGTGGAGCCAGAGCAATCAGGGGACAAGAACCAGAAGCATGTCACCTACGCAAACTCCGAGGATGGTGAGGAAAAAAGACCACCATCTCCACAGTCGCTTATCTGTCCCTGGGATCATTTACCACCTGTAAAGCAACCTTCAGAGGATAGGGGAATGCAAGGTGAAGCTCAGTCCCCTAAACCACAGGCTACTGTGTCTGCAAGTTTACCAGGCTCTCCAAGACCAAAGTTCACTAAAGATCAACGAGTCTTCTCCTTCCGCACCTCCACCACCACTGCTAAGTGGCTCTCTGTGAAATCAATTATGACCTCCATGGATGCAGGAAGCAGGTCCAGTAGGGATGGAAGTTTTCAAGAGGATTCTGTTTCACAAAAAAGTCAGGAAAGTGCTTCCACAACACCACGATCGAGAACATCTAATAGACGTCCAAGCGTGGAAAAGAGATCACTGCAGAAAAGAAGCATGACAACAGATGGAAAACCATGCCTTGTGAAGCAGAATGCCATCAGACTGTCCTCTGTGGATTCTTCTGAGAGAAGCCCAAGAAGGCTTGTGATTGTGAAATCTGCCGTCTACCCTTGGGACACTGATGATATGCAAAAAGATGGCACTTATGAAAATGTGTTTTTATCAAGGCAGAACAGCAAACGTAGTAGTATAGGTTCTTGGGAAACTGCCAGCAGCTGTAGAACTCCTTCAACTCACAGAAGAGGAAGCAATCGAATTACACCAGTCCGTAATATTTCCCATGCAGATGTGTGTCCATGGGAAGGACCTGGTACTTTCCAGGAAGGAGAGGGGCCAAAGAAGCAACAGAGCATTAAAGCAGACGTCTGCCCTTGGGAAGTTTCTGGACCATCTAATGTATGTCCATGGGAATCTCAAGAGCAAGGAAATATGAGAAGACGAGGAAGTGCCATTAGTAACGTGTGTCCTTGGGATTCACAGGATATTCCCGTTATTTATCATACTAACCTCTCTAGAGATTCACAGACACAACAGTCTTTGAAACATGCAGCAGACGTATGTCCCTGGGAGACTGCAGAAACTCCTCAACCTTTAATAAGGCAAGATAGTGAATATGCTAATGTTTGTCCTTGGGAGGTTCAGGAGAAGGCTGAAGTTGTATATGAAAACCTAAATCCTTTGGAGACCAAGGGAACGCTGACAGTGCCCGTCCGACAAGAAGTTAGGAAAACTGCCCTCTACCGCAGTGGATCAAAAGAAAGTAATGAACAACAACCCCATGCAAAATCACCTGCCCTGAGTTTGAGTAGACAAGTGACTAAGACAACAGAAAGTTGTCCATGGGATTTCCCTGATCCCCCTAAAATCATGGAAAACATTTGTCCATGGGAAGAGGGGAACACTGAGCCAACAAATACAGACTCAAAAACGACCATCAAGGTAGATATTTGTCCCTGGGAGACTGGACATGAAGACAAACCAGAAGACTCACAAAAAGGTGTCTCACTTTTGAAAGCTGCTTCCATACAAGCTGAAGGGAAAGACAGCACAAAGGTAAACATATGTCCCTGGGAAACTGAGTCCCCTGAAAAACCTGCCGCTACCACGATGGTGTCACAAGGAGTAAAAAGATCGGCAGATGTTTGTCCATGGGATAGTAGTGAACCAGAATCAGGAAAGCCAGAAACCACCAAAATATCATTGAGTCATATAAGGCAAGACACAGTTCACGCAAATATTTGTCCATGGGATACAGAGGAAGCAGGGGCAGTCAAAACTGAAGTATCAAACATACCAGAGCAGTCCAAACAAGATGTTTGCCCATGGGAAACAGAAGCCCCAAAAGTTCTGAAAAAGCAAGAAAGCGCTCTGGCAGATGTTTGTCCGTGGGAAACAGAAGAGCCAAAGGTTCTTAAAAACCAAGATAGTGCTAGGGTAGATGTTTGTCCGTGGGACACAGAGGAGCCAAAAGTTCTTAAAAAGCAAGACAGCGCTCGGGCAGATGTTTGTCCGTGGGACCAGAAGAGCCAAAAGTTCTTAAAAACGCAAGACAGAAACTCCGGGCAGATTTTGTCGCGCTTAAAAAGCAAGACAGCACTCGGGCAGATGTTTGTCCATGGGACACAGAAGAGCCAAAAGTTCTCGCAAAGCAAGACAGCGGTCGAGCAGGTGTTTGCCCGTGGGAGACCGAAGAACCAGGAGCTGTCACAAAGCAAGACAGCGCTCGGGCAGGTGTTTGTCCATGGGAGACCGAAGAACCAGGAGCTCTCAAAAAGCAAGACAGCATTGGAGCAGACGTTTGTCCCTGGGAATCTAAGGATCCACAAACCTCAACGGAAGGCAACATTGAAATTCCCACCGGTGACAAAGATGAAGTCACAGAGAACCAGGGGCCCCTCAATGTAGAGGAGACTCCAGAAGATATCATCACAGAGCAGATAGATGAGTCCAAAGAAAACTTGCGCCGCAGTGATGCTTTGTGTCCCTGGGAGATGATAAGGAGCCAATCTGGTTCATTCACAGACAATGCCTCAGATGTTTTTACATGGGAGCCTGAGAATATTCCTGAGGAAGATGAAGAGGACGATGCAGAATTTGCTGCTGAGGCTCTCGTATTCCCACCTGATTTGTGACCTAAATCTAGCCAGCATTTGTTTTCACTTTTAACCCCTCCCACTAAATCAAGTGGAATGTGAACTCTATAAAACCATTTTGGCGGTAAACTGTTGAAGGGAAACTTTGTTTTTAACTTCCCTAGCTCCACAGGGAAATTGATGGTCATACTCTTGAGCAGCTCCCCTGCAGCTGGCAAAGCTGAGAGCCATTTTGTGTTGGACAATTACTTGGGCTACTCAAAGACAGAATTTAGGGCTGTGTTGTTTCAGGTTGGACTATGCCAGGTTGGTTGCTGTCTGACTAAGAAGCTGAAGATGTAGTAGAGACTTCATGAGCTGGACAGAGCAAGTTGTGCAAACCTGACTAAAAATGTTTTATTTTAACTGGAGCACTATTGCACACTAAGTATGTCCCTAATCAATCCAGCAATGAACTATAAACAGACATTTCTTGGCTGATCGAAGGGCATCTAAGGTATTTAGATGAAGTCCCTTTTCTTCCTGATTCTACCCCCCATTTTAAATTAAAATGTTTTTTGTGTCTTTGTATGTTTTTAGGTGACAATTCACATATTTGCCATTTACGTGCAGTATGTTAGACTCATGGCCCGGGGTGAATATGTTACCTTACACCGTAGAAAGTCCAGAGTGCTCACAATCACAAATACAGCACAGGACCTAAGAGATGGAATTTAATGGAAGATGGAAGCTTAACCAGCACACACACACACCAGTTAAATTCAGTCTAATTTTGTTCTTTTGTGGAAATTATATTTTCAAAGTAGAAGAAAATGTAACGTGTAAAGCAGTGTCGCCAGTACTACAATTGATGTCAAATTACATTTGTATTAATGGTTGATTAAACTATGCATTCCTGTTTTCTTAAGTGACTAAAAGCCAATAATTTTCTCACTTTTGATTCAGTCATAATAATGGAAAATATAACATTCCACCACTTCAAGAAATGCCCAAAAAATTGCATAAATCGCCATAAACTGGAGTGAAAAGCTGCATAATCCTTTCATATCTGAACATTTAGAAAGTCATGTCAATGCCTTTTATGCAAATGCACTTGATACCAGTTTTATTAAGATGGGACAATGAGATTAAACATTAAAAACACTTAACAAATTAAATGTTTGGTAGATGCAGAGAACTTAAAATTATACAGGACATTTGTGTTGCAGCTAACCTGAGATTTACTTTATCTAAANNNTCTAAATACTAAGTTATGGAGGTGATATGTTGAATAATTGCTAGATAAGGTTTACTACAAATGTTGTCAGGGTTCTTTATGCAGATATTATAATTAATCATAGTCATTTCTGGAAAAAGTCACATCTTTGGCAACACTTAAATATTCTTTCAAGTCTTTGAAAGGAACTAGACTATCAGAGATTCCTCTGATTGACTCCACTGATGTGCAGATGACTGGTAATACTACAGAAACAAATATAAATCCACTTATGGATTAGTCCAAGATGACTTATGACAATTAGATATCTTTATTATTAGCTGTGGCCCTACATTTAATGTCTGACATTAATGAATACTTTAAATAGTTCAAAATCATTACGTTTCACATACAGACAATTGCAACTTTTTAAATGGCAGTATTATGTTGGAAGAAGTTTTATGGTGAATAAAACTTACAATATTAACAGTTTTCGTATTGATGTAATTAAGTCATGTCTATGCCAGCAATCTGTCAGTGAATTCAGGTGTCAGTTTTTCAGCACTTCTGCTACAGTGACTAAGTTTTTCATTCAGTGATCTCATTGTTAAACATTGCGCCAAGTTTTTTGTCAATGGAGTGAACTAGTTTTGTGAGCATTGTTGCATGTTAGTGTGTTTTTGAATGAGCGTGCTGTAATTTGTTGTCACGTAAAAAGAAATTCTAAAATTGTTGTAACACATCCCTTGATTTGCATAGAGAATCAGCCTATGTTCTGTTTTCAATTTTGTATGCAATATCTTCTATGAAAGATCACTCTGATAAAGAAAACTCCTGTTAAATCTATTGGTGTGAAGAGAAGCAGATGGGACATTTTATTTTTGTATTTCCTGAGGTCAACATGCAGCATATTCATCAGAGAAATAAACCATACAATTTGTGGAGATCTGTACATTTTATTTTTTATCACATGTACACATTAAGTTAGTCTTATGGAAACAAACATGAAAATGTGTGAGACTGAATCATGGTGAAATTTGAAGTGACTGTTTGATGTGTGTTAATTTGTTGCTGGGCAAGAAGCAGGTTTTTCTGGCTGGACTGAGACAGTGGTTTGTTCATCCTAAAACTCACCTGCTGCTTCCACCGCTTCAACAGCCAACAGCATTTAGAGATAAGAGGCTTCAAAGGAAGCCTGGTTTCCTGCCAAAGTGGGCAAACTAACCAGCCACAGCCAAATTCTAAAGAGCATTTGGCCCATGACTGCAGATAATGTCCAACGGTGGTTTGATGAAAAGAGCAGCGCCACCCGGTGGCCTATTTGTTCCATTGGACTGGCTCCGGTTTGGGAACTGCATAGTTGAGGGCATCAAACTCTTGTCCCGGCCTCAAGTTTGGACCAGGAATCATGACAGTCTGAAGGAGTAAGAAGAGCAGATGAGTGTAATTTGCAAGCAGTCAAATGTTAGTCAAATATATTGAAATGAACACACATCACCTAACAAATATCTCAAGTGTCATCTGTTCCATATTTCTGTACCAAGGGGGATTAAACTTCAAGATAGGAAAACCAGTTGGGAAAGCTGCTGGAATACAACCTACTTCAATGACACCATCTCTGGGAAAGATTCATCCTCGTGAGACTGAATTGTTCCCTGCGTTGCCTTATTGTTTTATATCACAACAAATGGTTGCCCAGATTTATCTTACAATTAGGAGGTAATCACCATTTACCTTTGCTGTTTTTAAATTAAATATTTGGCACAAAGTTTACTCAGGTTTACCACCGACTGCCCCCAAAACATGAGAGCAGCTGTAATTGTGTCAGAGCTGGTTCTCGTTTGTGTTTAATTTCGTGGACTGCAGCTGGTGTCCTGCTTTCATTTGTCAGCTCGCTTGACAGATTGTGATTGACAGGTGGCAGAGCCTAAAATAACCACAAAGAATTAGTCAAACCTCAGAGGTTCGTTGAAACTGATTTTAGGATATCTGTAGTGTTATTATGCATGTACAAGTTCAAGATATTTTTTTTTTTTAAAAAGGGAATGAAACATCTACCAGTTTTTTTTTTATATTTTGAAAGACACACTATTTGAGGTGTCATTCTAAAGTGAGGAACTATATAACCTAATTTCCCTCTATTTTTGAATTGTAAATGAAAGGACAATGAGAACGAAGATGGTGTGTGGTGGCGTTTGTTGCTGTTTTTTTGGGACTTTTTTGTAACACAGAAGAGTAAGAAACACCTTCCAGGCAACCTCACTGCTCCATCTGTCTGGTATATCTGAGACACGGCAGGTGCTGACTCACAGATTTAAGGTGATTATATTCTGTGTTTTGCAGTGATGCGTATAATGCAAGTCAACTTCTATTCCAGTCTTACGTTGTGAAGACTGGTGCAGACGCTGAACACAGATAATCAGAATTTAACAGGGCTTTGTGCATCCTTTACTGTGTAACTTGTTATTGAGGAAACTAGAAGAAACTTTAGGTAGCAGATCAACAGCTCCTTTTAAATTCCTGCAGCTGTCATTCATGTGACTGAGCCACAACACCAAATTCCTGCATGTCTGAAATATTTATATATGATGGACATATGCTATCTGATGAAACAGTTGCTGAGGAGAATTGTGGTTTATTCCTGTGAGCGACACAATCGGGTCAGCAGGAGTCCTCTCACAGGAAAACTCACACAGATATTTGAATGCTCGAACCTTCTAACTGAGGTACATTAGCTCTGTATGGTTAAGGAGTCACCCAAACAACAACAATTGCTCACTTACCTCTAGTGGCATTTCATTTTAGAAATTGTTTTAGGTTTAATTTGTCCTGGTTTTGAGATATCTGTGTCTGAGACTTCGGCCTCAACCCCACAAAAACCACAAAGGTTTTGGTTTCTGGAGCATCTTTCCAGAATCAATCAACACTGGCGTTCATTTCATTACTTGCTACGCCTGCTATTTGTATGCTGCATAATGAAATACCATTCAGCTTTATTAAAGGGTGAAGGCAGAAATCTCAAAAGGGAAATGTCTCCAGATCTGGGGGGGGGGCAGCTCTGCATGCTCCCCTCACTTCTCTACTTGTGATTTAGTCTATATTGTTGTCAAAGTCACTCAACAATTATGATTGATGAACCTCAGCAAAAAGGTTTAGTCTCTGTCCAACATATTTTGGTTTTTACCAACAATCCCAAATCAAGGTCCCTTAACAAGCGTCCAACCTCCAGCAGATGGAGTTGGCTCAGTTGTCATGGAGATGGATTTATTGACTCAGTAGCTGCTCTGATTTCATCCATAAAAAGTGTTATGTATGAAAGGCCAGTAAACGGACCTTGAGTTGGGATTGTTTTACCAAAATACTACTTAAATGAACTTTGATGCTTCATTTTAGCTTCAACATTCTATTAGGAGTTTTTAACTGGTTATGAAACAGTCTCAATTTAATACTGATGCCTCTATATGACCTTCATTAACAAACAAATTCTGTTTCTATTGTGTGATACATAAATGAAGACGTTATTGAACTGAGGTGTCATGTTGTCTGTGGGGGTTGCAAATACATTACAAACAACCATTATTTTAATGACAAATAATGCCCATTATTATTATTATTATTATTATCTACATTTACATTGTGTTACTACTACTACTCTAGACTCCTGTCTTCATTTTAGATCGACACCGGTTACTTTAGATTTTAGAGTGTAACACACTAAATCTTTTATGATTTGATCCAGTGAGTTAGATCCACCTAGCTAAGACTAATGCAGTCTAGTACATCATCCTGCAATGAATCCTTACCAAATTGATCGCTAAAAATGTGGTGGACAAAAAACTGTGAACAAAAACTGGACAGCATAAAGGTTATATTTATTACAGAGCTGTCGTAGGAGACTGCATTAGTATTAACTAAATGTGCCGACTAACTGGAGACTGAGTACATCCTCCTGGCACTTGTGGAGTTTTACCACCTCGGTATTAGACGATGAGGAGTCCAGACAGTTTATTAAACCGGCGCTGGAGCAACATTTGGACTGCAACCAAACCGCCTCTATTTTACGGTGAGAAGCAAAGGTCGTATTAAGAGGATGTATAAAAGCATATGTAACAGCATGGGAGGGAAAAATAATTGACTCAAAAAAATTATACTGGAAAGCTTGAAACACTAAAAACCACCAACCTTATTCATGTGGTCATTAAAGTGAAGTATGAACTGGCGAATTTATAAAGATTGCTTAATTTCCTCTTGACAGAAGAAGGTAACTTGGACCTCTGCCTTTTTCTTACTAAAAAGATATATATAAAAGCTGTTGTCAGCCGGTGCAGAGTAGAGGGTCACCTTAATAACTGGGTCTTTGGCAGGAGCCCAGGATGGGACTATTTTTCCGTGCAACCTCCATCGGCCGTAGGGGTTGACGAGGTGTCGTTCTATGACCATGTATTCCAAGACGTCCTTCGGCTGCTCCTCGCTGCCCAGCATCAGCCTCCCGAAGCGGTCGTAGATGGCCAGAGTCTGCAGCACAAACAGACGTGAAAGAAGGTTCATCCAGTCATCTGAATTCTACATTGTAACCTTGGTTTTAATCTCAGCACTAAACCCAGAACACTGACTATGCTCAATATCAGTGGTTCCCAACCTTTGACCTCTTTTCTATCATTGAGTAAACTGACTAAGTGACATTTATTTTAAGGATATTTCATATTATATTCAAAACGTTGGTTAATACAGCACCAAGAAGAAGCTCTGCACACCGATAGTTCACATAAACATATAGTCATACCTGTTTGGAGTGCATGCGGACCGTCACCTGGCCGTAGAGGTTGCCTTTGGAGACCATGTCGGGGCAGCGAGCGTGGACCACTTTGGGCGGCTCCAGGGACTCTACAAACCTCCAGCGGATGGTCTTGAGCCGGTTCCCCCTCGTCATCTCCTGAAGACAGGGCAGAGGGGCGATGGGAGACGTAGAAACAGTCAGTGGGGGATTTGATGAAACTGAAATAGTGATCAACAACATTTACAAGAAGAACTTACAGGATAACACCTTTCTGTCACCAGCGAGTGAAGTTTCTCCCTGTTGAACCTGCGAAAATAAAACTCCCAGATGTCAAACGTGTTTCTCTCTCAACACATCACGTAACTGCATTTTCAGGGTAACATTATTATAAGCTTTAGCAGACCTGAAGGCAGCACGAGTCTCTCACTTCTATAACAAATGTCTCACTGTAATATTGAGCATCCCACCCCGACTATGAGGCTGAGAAGAGCTGTGTCAGCTGGCTGAGTGAGGTGAGAGACAGTTCATTTTCTTACTGTGACAGGGAGTTGTGAGCCTCAATGAAGATTTCTTGAGCTCGCTCGGCAAAATCCTTCGTTGTGAACTCAGAGTCGTGCTCCTTGATTTTGCGAATCCTGTTAGAAACAACATTTAAAAAAAAAAAAAACACACATTCAGCTTTCTGATATTTACTGTGATTCAATTAAACAGCAGTTATAGAAGGTGTTAAAAAGGGGTTCACTCTTTCTCATCGACACCAAACTCAGTTCTCAGAGTAGGAACAACATGAGGAGTTAGAGAAACAATCTTACGCTAGCTGCGAGGCGGCGCTCTGTCGTAACTGTTCAGTTCGTTGTTTCAGGCCTTCTTTAGACAGAGTGGAAAGACGAGCGTCGCCCTCTGGGGGGATGTAGGGGTCGAATATTCCCGCTGGTAAAGACAGCAGACAGGACTCAATCAGTATGTGCCCTCCAACCA